GTGATCCTGGGAGATTTGTGGGGAGAAGTATGGGGGGTGGGGGATGGATGTTGGGGGGGTGGCATTGAGCATCTCTGAGGGTGAGTCCTGAACACTGAGCAGGAACAGCCCTAAAAGCACCATCAGTGTGGTCCAACACTTCCCCCATAATGCCTGAGCAAGAGAGAGCTACACAAGGACGTAAGGTAAGTGGATGGCAGTGAGTTTGAACCCTGGTGCTGTCTGCATGCACTGGAGTGATGCTGAGGGTGCAGCTGTTTTGGATCCCTGATGAGAAGAGGGTCTAGCAAGTGGCCAGAGACTTAAAAAAAACCCAGGGTAAGCATGAGGTTTTAAATGAGGTTCTGAGCCCCCAGGACTGCTCATGTACATAGGTAATCCTGATAAGCCCAGGGTCTGGGTTCCACCTCACCACACACACACACACACACACACACACACAAACACCAAACACACACACACACACACACCAGGCTTCCCACCCTCACTACACATACACACACACACACACACACACACACACACACACACACACCAGGCTTCCCAGGTAAAGCGATCTTTATGCCAGCCAGAATGTGAGGGATCCAGGCAGCCTGCACTGTGCAGACCCTGTTCCTTGGGGTCGTGGCTCTGACGGCGTCAGGAGGGAATGTGTTATGTGTTTGCCGTGTCAAGGCCCAGCACTGGGAGGACAGAAACCAACAGGCCAAGTCCAGCTAAACATGTGCTGTCTGACACAGAAGAAGAGACTCCGGAACCCTTCTCCCATAACTCCCTTCCCATCTCTGCAGGGCTGGCTTCAATCCAGGAGGAAAGAAGAGTTCAAAGACTCCCAGAGCAGAGCCAAGGCTGAAGTGGATACTTACCAGAAAGTAAGTTTATGTGCACTAGAAGTACTGGAACTGTCTGTGACCGAAGCTCCTTAGAGGGATTAAGGCACCTGGATGCAGCTGAGCTGAGCCCCAGTACTACATGCATGGTCTCAGGGGCACCACCAGGGGTCACTTCTGAGCACAGAGCCAGGAAAAGTCCCTAAGTCCCCCCATTCCCCCCAACACACACACACACACACACACACACACACACCCTGGCCTAAAATCCCTCCCCCCCCCCAAATAAAAATGTAAAACTCCTTGGAATGAGTTGCCCGGAGAAAAGTTCTCTATCATTTGGGCTGTGCAAGCATAGACAAGGTTATCTAATTATACATATGGGCTGGAGTGATAGCACAGCGGGTAGGGCATTTTCCTTGCACGTGGGCCGACCCAGGTTCGATTCCTCCATCCCTCTGGGAGAGCCTGGCAAGCTACCAGAGTATACTGCCCTCACGGCAAAGCCTGGCAAGGTACCCATGACATATTCGATATGCCGAAAACAGTAACAAGAAGTCTCACAAAATGGAGACGTTACTGGTGCCTGCTCGAGCAAATTGATAAACGACAGGAGGACAGTGCTACAGTGCTACATGTGGGGAGGGGCTGGGGAAGACAATGTAAGGCACTTGCCTGGCATGAAGTTGATCCAGGTTCTAATCCCCACTGGTTCTAATCCCCAGCCAGCACTGCATATGGTCCCTTGAACACTGCCAGGGTTCACTCCCGAGCAGAGAGCCAGGAATAGCCCCTAACCACCACCAGGTGTGAGCCAATTCCCCCATCCCCCAATAAGTGAAAACTCCACCTGGAGAAGTTGGAGCCACCAATAAAATAAGAATACCCAAATGCAGGAGCCAGGAGATAGTACAGCAGTTAGGGAGAATGCCTCGCAGGCACCCAACCCAGGGTTAACTCCTGGTGTCCCATGGCCCCCACAGCATTGCCAGGCGCAGCCCTGGAGGCTCCCAGAATCACCACAGTGTCCCACGAGGTCCGGGTTCCCCCACGCTACAGACCTGAGCAGCATCGAATCCCTGGGCCTTAGAACTGAACCAAATACCCAACTGACCGAGAACCTCTGGTGGCATCTCTGGAACTCCCGAACACCACTTGGGACAAACCCCCCCCCCACCCCACCACCACCACCACCACACACACAAAAAGCATGACCAGATTAAAAATATAATAATGGGGCCAGACCGATGGTACAGTGGGTAGGGCATTTGGCTTGCACACAGTCAACCCTGATTCAATCCCTGGTAGTCCACATGGTCCCCTGAGCTCCACCAGGAGTGACCCCTGAGTCAGGGGTTCTGAGCACTGCCGGATGTGGCCCAAAAACAAAAACAGCAAGCAATAATGATTACAGATATGTTGGATTAAGATTACAAATTTTATTCCTAGGGTTGGCCATTCCTATGACAATCTGGGTGGGAGTTCAAAGCATAAATAAAGATTCACAGGTGAATTCCACGAGATGGTGCCAGGAAGCAGGGACAGAAGATCCCAGGAAGGGCCAGGGAGATGGCTTGGAGAGCATTTCATTCCTACAGTTTGATCCTGAACACCACATGGGCCCCCACAGGAGCAGGAGCAAGCCCAAACCACAAAAACCAAACAAACAAAAAAATGGCCCCAGGATCACTAGGCCTGATCTCGCCCCAGAGGAGCCAGAAACCTTCCTTCAACTACCTATGCCTCAGCTCCCTAACTAGTCTGGCAAAAATAACTGAACTAGTCAGGTAAATGAGGATGTTTCTGTTTTGGGGCCATACCCAGTTGGTAAACGGTATATATTTACAAGTTCCCAGCTCAACGGAAATAAAAAGTTATAATCTTAATTGGGGGCGGGTCTTGGCAGTACTCAGAGGACCGTGTAGTACTGGGATCAAACCCAGGCCTCCCACAGGCAAAGTATTCGGCCCTTTAAGATATCTCTCTAGTCCTACTGGGCAAGTTATAATTGTGACGTTATTAATTCCACTGGCCCTTGGTGCCAGCCATAGGGGGTGCCAGCCTTTTCTGTAAGGGCTTTGACTGCAAGTTACCAAGTCTTCCTGTTCCTAGGGTTCTGGGCTGGGCTGTCCTATTCATTTATTCACCCAATAATGAATTTCAGACACATTGCTCCCAGACAGGTGGAGAAGCGAGACACAGTGATGTGATGAACCTGGGTGACAGAGAACACAGCATACTGAGAGAACACGGCGAGTGCTAACACCCAGAGAACAGGGTGATTAAGTCTGTCCCTTGGGAGGCTGTGCAAGGCCTTCAAAGGACACAGCTCAGTGGGGTCTATAGGATGAACAGGAGCTGCTGAGGATAAGAGGAACTAAAGTCCAGAAAGTAGGGCGCTTGTGGGTAGGGAACAGCGGGTAGGGCACGTGCCTTGCATGTGGAAAACCCAGGTTCAATCCCCAGCATCCCATGTGGTCCCCTCAGCATCGCCAGGTGTGGCCCCCTCAAAAAGGATAAGAGGAACAACTGACGGATTTTCATAGGTGAGAACTGGGTTAGGCAAGGCGCCTGGCTGACCCTTTCTGATCCTTCCCCTTCAATCACCCGGTTCCCCCTTTTCTTCCCATCCTCGTTTACTTTGGTGAATGCACGCGTGGTGCTGGGGATCAGGCATGGCAGGAATCTCCCCTCCCTGCAGGGCTCCCAGCCCCACTCTGTGCTGGAAAGACCCTGAGGAGTCAGAGAAGGAACCAGGCCCTCCCACAAACAAAGCGTGTGCTGCTGCCCTTGGAGTTCTCCCCGCCCTGCCAGTCCTAATTATTTCTGGTGGTTCCCAGGCCTCATCAGACTGGCTGCCCACAGCTCAAAGTTCATGTTTACCCACTGACAAATCCAGAAGAGAAAAGAGCTCATGTTATAAGAACCGAAACCAAGTGTCTCCACCCTGTCCTGTCAGCCAGGCACTACTGGTCATGGGAGGCACGGCCCTTTCATGGACAAGGCGCCCTTGGTAGGAAGGTGGGAGCTGAGCTCGGGGTCTCCCGAGCTCCCTCCCAAGCTAGCCCTTGTCCACCAAGAGGCCTTTCCGCCTTGCCTTCCAATCTGACCATCTCTTTCTGTTCCACACCCTTCATGTTTCCCAACCCCCCTTGGTCTCCTCCCTCCACCTGGAGCTCTGCACTAGCTCTGAGGATGAGGAGGAGGATGGGAAGGGCCGAGCCCATTTCAGGCAGAGAAACTGAGGAAACACAGGGTGCTGGGCTATGCCTCACTCGCTCTAACATGCTCAGAGAGAGAACGCCCCCAGCTGCTGTCCTTACCCGGCACCCCACCTTCCAATCCCGAGGGCACACCGCCTCGCACAGAACCTCACAGGGCAGCTCTAGCCCAGAATATGTTGTGCAGGTCATCAGGTCCCCATCCAAACAGGCACAGACAAAATCTCTCATGCATCCCCCATGGATGCCCCTGCCCCGTTCCTATTGAGACTGGCACAAACCCCAATGTCCCAAATGTTCCCTAGCCCAGGTCTGTGCGTTTGCCATGTTCGCCAAACCCAGGGGCTCCTGAATCTACCCTTCGAAGAACAAGAATTAGGTGCTGGATTTAGGAGTTACACAACTTTAGGGACCCTCAATTCCCAGTAACCTCCATGGAAAATAGAGGGAGGCTAATTTTTTCTTTCTGTCTTTCATCTGATTTTGGGCGCACACCCAGCAGCGCTCAGGACAGACCTCAGGAGACTGTATAGGATGTCAGGGATCCAACTTGGGTCGGTTTTGAGCAATGTACTTTTCGGCTCTGGAAGACTAATTTTTTGGGGCAGGGGATGGCCACATTCGGCGGTGCTCAGGGCTTACTTTTGGCTCTGCACTCAGAGCTCACTCCTGGCAGGCTCGGGGGACCACATGTGGTGCCAGTGACTGAACCTGAGTTGGCCATGTCCAAGATGAGCGTCCCACCTGCTGTGCCATCTCTCCGGGCTCCAGGAGGCCAACTGTTTAGACTTGTGTTTGCACTCTCCATACCGCACCCACCTTCCCCACCCTGATGCCCAATGACAAGTTGGCTAATCCTGTAACAACAGGATAAAGACTCAAGAAGGATCCAACTGGGCCTGGGTATGAGTTATCCGGGCCCCCTCCAGCACCACTCCCCCAGCCCTACCCCACAGTGTGTGGCCGTAGTCTCCTTGAAGTGGAAGAGCAGGGACCAGAGGATGCAGAAGAGGAAGGCGACAAGTGGACAGCAGACCGTGACCAGGGCCACCAAGGTGAAGCGAAGCCGTACCAGGGTCCCATCCCTGTCCAGCGGCAGAGGGACCTGGTACATCTTGTCGGACCTGGGGATGGAGTGGTGCTGTCAGGGCCTGAGGCAGCAGGGCGGGCACGGAGCGAGCCAGCCCTTGAGTTTAGTCCTAAGCTTCACCGAGCTCCTATGCTTGGCCAGTTCCTGTCCTGGATGACAAAGATGAAATGTTCATCTGAACCTCAGGTGAACATTCGTCCCCCAGTTTCAGAGAAAACATCAAGGAAATGAGCCGTACTAAATTGAAGCCTGACTGGCCGGGATCCTTCTCTCTACAACTGACCTGAATGGCCGATGGCAGCTGGTTTCACTTGCCCTTGTTTTAAGGTGAATCCTGAAACCTCCTAGTGGACAGAATGGCCCTTCTCCTCCCCCAGGCCTCAGCCTCTAAGTTTTAGGGTCTCCTGTCAGTTCTGGCCCGGGGCCCTTTTGCATCTTCAGTCTCTCCCCAGGCTTCAAGTGCTCTCAGCCTGCCCCGCATGGACTCCATGGAAGCTCGTGGAATTTTCACCCACTGCATGTCCCTGCCCAGGGCCTCAGGTGCTCTGAGAGGTCAGGTGCTAGCTTGGGTTTGCTACTTACAGGAGAGAGGTCTGGAGGCTTCCAGACCTGTTCACTCGTGTTTACCCAACTCCAGAGACTCCCTGCTTAACTAAAGGACTCTAAGAGCCAGTCCTCTTCCACCATCCTAGCCCACTGACCCCTTAGGGGCATGGAAGAGAAGCTGACGCCAAGCCGGGATGAGAAAGCTGCTCAGGGTCACACAAAGAAGGACGAGCTGGCAGACGGCAGCCACGTGGCCTGCAGGATACACACTGCACGGCTCATCTTCCCTGCCAGAGATCCGGGCCTCCGAGGCCAGCCTCAGGGAGAACAGAGGAAGGGTGCTTGTCCATCCGAGGAAGAAAGGTGAAAACCAAATCCTAGACAGATAAACCCATTGGGGCTGTCCCCGCTGTGGAAATGGAGAAGGCAAGATGGAGAGAAGGGCTGTGCCCCAGAGCCACCGGCTGAGCCAGAGGAAATGCCTTCCCAGTGGCCAAAGAGGGCGGGCTCCAGGTTCCTCAAGGAACCTGCCCTACTGGAATCTAGGGCCTCCCTCCTCAGGTCTGAGTTCCCAGAGCCCCACCTCCTGGGTTCCCACCCTCAGGAAGAACCAGCGCCCAGGTGAGCCGGAAGAAGACTGCCCGGTGGACACGCCTCTCCAGGCTTGGCCTGGCACATGGTTAAGCTGCTCGGGCTGCCTGTTCTCACTCAAGTTTTTTCTCTCTTTGGAGGCCCGGGGTCCCCTGAGGGGCTGGGGAGCAATTCTGCTCAGCCTCCCAAATCAAACACGGTCCTTGGGTCAGCCTCAAATGGGACCTTTTGTTCTCCATGGTCCTTAGAGGGGAACACTCAAACCAAACCCAGCCGTGGTTCCTTCCCCCTGCTCCCCACTTCCAGCCTCCATCTCAATCCCTCAGCACTCATCACGCCCCCCAACGGAGTGAACAGGCACTGCCCAAGGCAGGGGGTGATAAGGATTCTGGAGGAACATTCTGTTCCACTTTTTAGGAGTCTGCCTGGCTATCCTCTTAGTTGTGTAACCTTGGACAAGACACCTGACCACTCTGGGCTGTCTCCACTGCTGTGCAAGTGGGCTTAGCGACTTAAAAAGATCATTCCAATTCGGTCCCCAGGTCTCAGGACAAGGAACTCACTTACTCAAGGGCAGCTGTTGGCACTAGCCGGTTCCAACTTGCTCCTAGGGACTTGGCTGAAAACTGCTCTTATTTCCAAAACTCTCTCCACTGCTTAGCCGCCAGTGGCAATCCACGTTTACTGGGTGCCTACCAGTTAGCTCTAGGGGCCCCGCTCGGCCAGCATTTGTACTTGGAGAGCCTGTATGTTTCCATTTTACGGAGGAGGAAACTGAGGCCCAGGGAGGTTAAAAAGAACACTGTTCAAGATCACTGGTCGGAATGCGGTTCGAAATTAATCAATGGGCTTCCAAGTCGCCCCACCCACCCCCCCGCCCCCCACAACTGGTCCTCCCACAATTTCCATCCCCTCCCCTCCATCCCCTCTAAGGGATCCGACTAGAAGTCCCTGCGGAGTGGGGGGCAAGCTCAACCCCAGCAAGTTCAGGCCCCGGAGGAGGAGCCCGGGGAGGGGGAGAAAGCACGCAGCCAGCACAAGCCCCGGGACCCCAGCGCGCGGCACCCCGCCCTGCGGAGGCCGGACCGCGTGGCCGAGCTGCAAAGCGTCGCTGCGGCGGCCCAGCACACCCATCTCCATACTCACCCAGGTGGTGGCAGCGAGGACGCCGCGCCAGCGCAGGGGGGTGGGGGGCGGGGTGCTGGGGTGGGGTGGGGTGGGGGAATCCCGGGGGCAGCCCGGGCCGCGGCAGGGGCGGGTCGCAGCGGCAAGGGGAGGCGGGGCCCGGGGAGGAAGCGACGCCCCGGCCCGCCCCGCCCCGCCCCTGCGGACCCGGACCCCGCGCGGCTCCCCTCCCGGCTCAGGCCTCCCTGCCCGCGCCCCTGCCCGGCCCCGCCGGCCGCGGCCCGGACACCTGGCCTGGACCACGCTGGATAAGCCACGCTGTCCCCTTACCTCAGCCGCGTGCCATCACCTGTTGAGAGAGCAGGAAATTAATTCCTCAGGGCCTCGTCCTGCTCTCCCCGAGCCAGCCGCCGAGCCCCCCAAAACGCCCCCCACTGCAGCGATGAGCTTTAGGCCTCTCGGCCCCCGAAGGTGCCTCCCCCAGCAGGGCCAGTCCAGGGGCGCGGGGAGGATGGGTCATTCCCGCCTCTGATCAGGAGAGGGCGCTCTGTGCTTTCCCACCTGGCCCCACGGTCCTCCAGCCTCCAGCCCCGGGTGGACCCCACCGAGAAGGTCGACCCCCACAGAGCACCACCCCCAGCGACCCGGAACCGCGGTCTCCTAGCACGTCGCGACGCTATCCGAGCACCTGCTAAGGGGGGTGCCCGCTTAGCCAGACCGCACATGGTCACCTGCATTTCCCCCTTTCAGATTCCCACGGAGGGGGCGGGGACGCAACTCAGGGACAGGGAGGGCTTCACATCTATGAATGCTCACATTGGGGTTCGATCCCCAAGCAAACAAATTCCAGGCAGGAGAGATAATCCAGGGGCTGAGGCCTTGCACTTGGTCAACTCGGGATGGACCCCTGGACGCTGTATATGGTCCCTTGAGCACCGCGAGGAGCGCTCCTGAACTTCACGGGCACGGGGGTGTGCCTCCCCGCCTTCCCCCACGGTCTAATGTGAGCCTGTGAGCCACTTTTCTGCGTTTTTTTTTTTATTATTATTTTTCCCCTTTTCTGCATTTTGTGTTACCCCACTCAAACCCACCTACACATTGAGAAGTGAAACCTTTTTTTTTTTTTTCGTTCTTTCTTTGTTTTGGGATGATGCTCAGGGGTTTGGGTTTGGGTTTTGGGTGATGCTTCTGGCTCTGCACTCAAGAATTACTCCTGGCGGTGCTCGGGAAAATATATGGGATGCCAGGACCAAAGCCAATCCACAGTGTGTAAGGCAGGCACCTTACCCTCTGTACCATCGCACTGGCCCTAAGAGTTAGTAAATACTACTAATACCCCCATTTCACTAATGTTAAACAGAAAAAGGTAAGTTATCTACTTACACGGATAATAAATATCAGGACGATGGTTCTACTCTGTAGGCTTCTGAGATTGTTCCCTTAATCATTATATACAGTTGATACCACCAGGTAGTATAATCATTTTGCAGGTGGGGCTCAAACTGGATTAATCAGCCTGCTCTACTTCATGCATTCACTCCTTTTTTTTTTTTTTTTGTGGCAGAGAACTCCCAGCAGTGCCCGTTCCTGGCGATTCAACCCAGCCAGACAGTTGAGTGTTAGGGACAGAGGACGCGGTGGTGGTGGTGCTTGGATCCTATGGTGCTGAGGACCCCCAGGACTATCCCTGTGGTGTTCAGGGGTCACCAGAGTCACACCTGGCTTTGCTCTGAGGTCAATGTGGCACCGGGGATTGAAGTAGGCCAATGCACCTTAATCCGGGTTCTCTCTCTCTGGCCCACATTCATTCTTGTTCATTCACTGAGCCGAGACACCTCTGTGAAGCCGGTCATGGACCAGGCCAGGGTGGAGGACCCAGGATTACCTCAAGCCTAGAGAAGGTGTCTTCTTTTTAAAACTATTTCTACTTTTTGGGTGTTTTTTTTCCTTGCTTTCTCATTTTTGGGGGGGACCATATGGGATGCTGGGGATTGAATCTAGACCAACCGTGTGAAAGCAAATGCCCTACCCACTGTACTATTGCTACAGCCTTCTACACGTTTAATTCTCTCCACCCTGTCTTTTACGATTCCATGGTAGCAAATGAGTCATTAGTAAAGTTTTACTAGCTGAGTCATCTCTTTCTGGGTTTGTTTTGTTGTTTTGTTTTGGGGTCATACCCGGCAGTGCTCAGGGCACTGGAGCAATCCTGGCTCTGTGCTCAGCAATCAGAACCCTGTGGCAGGGCTCAGGAGACCATATAGGATACCAGGGATCAAACCCGGGTTAGGTACACCACATGCAAAGCAAGCGCCCTACCTACTGTACTATCTCTTTGATTCTCCCTCTTTCTGGTTTTGATAACATGTTTCCTACCTAGCAACTTTATGCTGCCCTCTTTTTCTAGCTTGACCCAAAGGGGCTGGAGTGATAGCACAGCAGTAGGGCGTTTGCCTTGCACGCAGCCAACATGGCCGACCCGAGTTCGATTCCTCCGCCCCTCTCGGAGAGCCCGGCAAGCTACCGAGAGTATCTCGCCCGCACGTCAGAGCCTGGCAAGCTACCCGTGGCGTATTCAATATGCCAAATACAGTAACAACAAGTCTCACGATGGAGACGTTACTGGGCCCGCTCGAGCAAATCGATGAACAACAGGAAGACTGTGACTGTGACCCAAAGATGCTTGCTGTGGGCCCTTGTTCTGTCTTGATTCCTTATTCCTGTGGCCCTAAATACCATTCCCCCTTCTCAATTCCTCTAGACACTAATTTATTCAACTGGATCAAGGGGATGGAGAGATAGTCTAATGGGTAGGTTGCTAGCCCTGCATGCAGCCAAGCCAGGTTTGATCCCCGACACCCCATACAGTCTCCTAAATCCTGCCAGGGTTGATCCCTGAGCACAGAGCCAGGAGCAAGCTCTGAACACAGCTGGGTATAACCCCAAAACCAAAACCAATAATTAACTGTGGATCTGACCACATATGGGGTTGGTAACTTATTAAGATTTTGTTTTAAAATAAGTATAAATGTGGAGGTGGGGTGGGGAAGGATCACACCAGCAATGCTCCAGGAATCATGTAGTGCCAGGGCTGGAACGAGAGTCTCCTGCATGCCGACCATATACCAGTCCTTGGAGCTATCTTTCTGGCCCACACAATAAGCATATTTGCCATTAGTAAATGTTGGATTTGCAGATCTAGCTGATTTGACTTCTGCTTGGGGACCATACCTGACTCAATGCTGAGAGGGTGCTCCTGGCAACACTCAGGGGACCATGTGATGCATGCGCTCAGCCCAGTTGAGCTATCTCTCCCACTCTATACCTATTTTATATACCCAGGGTGGCATAAAAGTTTCTTGAGCAAAAAGTGGTTCCAGTGGAAAAAAATTTGACAAACCTGACCTCAGCCCCTGCAGCTGAAACTTAGGGCAAGAGCCTTTATTCTATGGTGATTTGGTGGTTTGTGCATTTCATACAGCTCTAAAAGTCTCAGTTTCATTCATAAGATGCTTTTAGGAATATCTGCCTCCTAGGCTCTGGGAACTAAATGAGGCAACAGAGCTATCTTCTAGGCATCAGTCTGCCAATCTGATTCTGAGATTCTGAGTGCGTCTTGGTTATATTGACTAACTCTGATTTTTTTTTTTTCTTTTTGGGTCACATTCAGTGATGCTCAGGGATTATCCTGACTCTGCACTCAGGAATTACTCCTGGCGGTGCTTGGGGGACCATATCGGATGCAAGGGATCAAACCCAGGTCAGCAGTGTGCAAGGCAAACACCCTACCCGCTGTACTATCTCTCTGGCCCAATCTGACTAACTCTGAAAGCTACCCTCTGAATTCCTCCTCACAGAGGCTTTTCTAAAATGTTTGATTTCAGCTGTCACTTAATCTCTCTGAAGGTTCCTACGACTATCAAACATTTCAGTTTATGTGAAGACCTTTATGTATATTTCATTATTTGAGCCTTTTAATAACCTGATAAATGTGATGAATTACATTTTACAGATAAAGCCGTGGCACAAGCTTCTAAGGAACCTTGTCTCGCCCTCGTTCTGTTGGCACTCGGCTACACTGGCCTTTCCCCTTGTCCAAGAAGCTGCTGCAGCTGCTGTTTGTGGAAACCTTCCCATTCTTTCTGCCCTCATGTTAGTTTTCCTGGTGCTACAACAGACCCTAGAAGCCTGCACCTGCACAGAACCACTTTCCGGCTGTAGCCATGATCACTGCCCAAACCCTCCATTCATCCACGCTGACAGGGTATCCATAGATGGGAAAATTACAGTCCCTCGTGGCAGGAGGTATGCAGACAAGGAGCAGAGATTTAGTAATTGCAGGAAAGGCCTTTAGAGCAAGGCTGTTGAGTGGGGTTGGAAACTCAAATGTGGGTCATCCTGGGAAGCAGAAACATAGTGCTAAAGACATCCAGCTTCAGGTCAAACTCTCTCCTCACCTTAGGCATCATCGGGTGGAGGAGTTCTTCTTTTTCACAGACTTTTCCTGGCAGAGACATCCTTCGAGGATAGCTTTAAACTACCCACTCCAGGCTCACTCATCTTGTTATTGTCTAACTCAATAGTAAGTAAAAAAATTTTTTAAAATTTTATTTATTTATTTTTGCGGGAAGAGTGTTCGGGGCCAAACTTGGCAGTGCTTGGAGGCTATTTCTGGCTCTGTGCTCAGGAGTAATCCCTGGTAGTTCTTGTGGCCCATATATGACACAGAGCATTTGAATTAGGGTTGGCAGGATACAAGGAACTGCCTTATCCCCTGTAAAGAGTAAATCTTAAATTTTATTTTGTTTTTGTTTTGTGGGAGACACCCAGCAATGCTCAGGGGTTGCACGGCTCTGAGCTCAGGAATCCTGGCGGGGCTTGGGGATGCCACATGGGATGCCAGGGATTGAACCTGGGTCAGCCACACGCTATCTCTCCGGCTCCTGTAAATAGTAAATCTTAACAATAAATAGATAACAAGTAAATGTCTCAAATAGTAAATCATTATTGCTTTATAGAAGTCCCAATTTGTATCCCCAGATAGACTGAGCTCTTTCCTGCTGCTCCATCTTTATTCTCTCTGTTCCTCTCGGCTGTAATACTACTTCAGTTTTTCAGCATTTAACCCTTCCAAGAAATGTATTGATTAACAACCTCAGGAAGTTAGGAATGCAATTGGTAAATTCTAGCAGCAGCACTAATAGAAAAAAAGAGATCTATGGCTTGGAGATAGAGCTCAATGGACCGAGTATAGCTCTGCATGGAGAAGCCCAGGTTTCATTCTTAGCACTGCACGGGTATCATTCCTGATGAGTCCCAAGTACTA